AAGGAAAAAGGGAAGAGGATGCCCTGGGGATCATGGATTGTAATGCCATCAGAAGTCAAAGTGCCTGTGAAGTGTTGGTACAGGGTGAAGCTCCAAGGAAAAGTGTCCTTTGCCTTCCCTCTGAGCCTTTGCTTGCTCTTTCCCAGGAGTATGTGTTTTAATTGCTTAAGAAAAAGTCCTTTCAGCCCTTCCAATTTGAGACTCATTCAATTAGTAGGATAAAGATATACTAGATTGATCTATAGACAACCGCTGATATTTGTCTGTTTTTGGCCTATTCAATTTTCTTCCTGCTAATATGGTTTTGTGTCCATTTTATTATTGGTTTAGACATAAGGACTTAAGGAGGGTAGAGGGAAGAATTCTCCCCATCTCCAATATGATACACATAGTAAGACCTCAGTGAATTTTAGTTGCTGTAATTATGATTAATGATAATAATACTACTGGTAATAGAGATCACACAACCCATATCCCTCATTTTATAGATGAGGAAAATGGTGCAAAATTATGGGCATACCCGTCCTTCCTCAAAATATTTCTCATTCTTTTGAAGGGGAGCAGAATTTGCCACCCCAAAATAATCTCTTTGGCACAAGGATTATTTTTGGCTGACTATTTAAGAAACAGCAGACACAGGGAAATCTCTGAAAGTGGAGCGGAAGTGCCCTGGCACAGCAAAGACATTTTCTGAGAATGGAGGGAGGTGCTGGGATCCTCTTGGCTGCCTCCCAAATTCCCCCTCATCTGTCAGCCTGAGACCCCGTGTTTCAACTAGGCTTATTCCCTATTTCAGAGCTCAGATCACGTATGAACGTTCACATGTTGCATTTAAAAGCCAATTTACTACAGTCTCAGTTATCTGTGAGCAGAAAAATAAATAAATTGTCAGGATTTTAGATTGGTCTTTGCTTCATTTTGCTTGTAAACACAATCATCTTAGTTATTTTTATGACTTTGTTTTGAAGTACTAAGCTTCCTGGAAAATATCCTATATAATAAAACACTAATATGCAAATAGGACGAACGTCAGAACAACTGGTCACTATGATGTGCACTGACCATCAGGGGGCAAACCCTTAATGCAGGAGCTGCCCCCTGGTGGTCAGTGCACTCCCACAGGGGGAGTGCCACTCAGCCAGAAGCCAGGCTCATGGCTGGCGAGTGCAGTGGCAGTGGCGGGAGCCTCTTCTGCCTCTGCTGCAGGAGGGCGGTAAGGAGAGAGGGGTCTCAGACATTGAGAACCCAGGACTGCGAGAAGGATGTCTGACTTCTGGCTTAGGCATACACCCCCCGAGGGGTCCCGGACTGCAGGAGGGTGCAGGCTGGGCTGAGGGAACCTCCCCATCCCCCACCGCCCTGTGCATGAATTTCATGCCCTGGGCCTCTAGTATAATATATAAAAGAGACTGCAGTTCTGGAGTTTTGCTGTAATCTCACATCTCAGTTTGAAAAATCTTGTAAAGAGCTCTGGGATGCAGTGCTGGGATGTCTCATATAATGGCATTATTATCCACAGACACAGCAAGGTACAATCTGGATAAAGTTCCTAAACCAGTTTGTTTTTGGTGAATGTCCAATTCTTTTACAACTGCCTCTACTGTTATCTGTATTCTAATTTCCCTATTGTCCAGGGAAATGTATTTATGGGGACAGATTGATGCAGCAGATGAGGAGATGCATGGACTGGATGTAAAAGTACTTTGCAAGGAAGATGATTCAAACACAACTCAGGTTGAGGAAAATGGATTTTCAAAATAAATGAAATTTCAGGATATTAATGTGATTTATCTCATTTAATGGAACTGGTGCAGGAGGGCTCAGAGGTAACAAATCCCTTGCCTGCTCAGGCTAAGCAGGATATCATGTTTCCTAGCAGTTTGACTCCTCCACCTTGAAGGGGACCCTGGCTTTGTATAAAAAAATATAACCACTGATCACTGGAGAAAAGTAATTGTTAGAGAGGACTATCCCTTACTGATGTTTTTCTTTCCAGCTAGAAGGTCTGGGGTGGATGTGATAAGTAGCTTTCTCAAACATTTGATGTTCGTTATCTTACCAAGTGAGCCTTTAAATGAACCTGTCATTTTGTGCCTGAATAATTAGTGGTTCATAACCTGCTGCCCAAGCACATTTGCAAATTACAATCACATCTTTGTGTGGTTTTTCAAAGAGAACCCTCATTTGTCCCAATACAGCTGGAGTTTCTATGTTGTGTGACCATGTGAATCTGGTATTCTGTTTCAAGAGCTCTGGTACCCCGACATGCCTCACTGTGCAATGGCAGCTTTACCAGGAGAAATAAATGGTTCAGTCCAACGTCTCGAAGTACTTGAGGGCATCAGAAAGGCTTATTTTTTTCCATGTATGCTTACAATGGGTCACTGCATATTTGGCCCAGAAGAGAGAAAGTTACATCTCAAGTGTCATCAGCTTGCCCCTTGAAAGGGACACCAGAAGTGAAGGGGCACCATCTCTGGAATAATAAAGTCAGTAAGGAAAGAGAATTTGCTCTGTCAAAACTGGATCCACACCTACCTTTTGGGAACGTATTTATTCCCCTAAATCAGATATGCCTATTGTAGGGATGCTAAGGCAGCGGTATAAACAAAAATAGCAGAGGATGGAGAGAGCAGGTACAAATGAACCAGTTATATAGCTTTCCTCATCCTCTTGCCACCTTCACACATTGCCTGGAGGCCAACCAGTTGTCCCGTACCACCCAAGCTTGCCAGTACATTAGAGTAGATCATTAGAGTCTTTTTGTCAACATTGAAACAAGGACACAGGCTCTGCCAACGTGGCTCCACTGAATGGGGCAACGATTTTTCGATGAATTATTTTAAGGAGCATGGCAGCACAGCATGATGTAGTGGAAAGACTATTGTGCTACATGAAGTCCTTCATTTTAGTGCTGGCTCCGATCCTTAATAGCTGATTGACTTTGGGCAAATCACTTAACCTCTCTGGGCTTTAGTCTCTATCTATAAATTGGGAATAACAACAATTGATGGTTGTGGTGATAAAAAAAAATCTTGGTTCTGAATGCAGTTTGTTAACTCTAAGGCACTAAACATAAGTAAATGATTGTTACTGTTAGATTTCTAGAGGCATGCACAGTAACACCACCTAGCCAATAAGGGTCTCCAGTCTCCAGTACTAGGACCTCAGGAAGCGCCCCAGAGGTCATATAGAGAAGAAGGCCCTGAATTTGTTGCCCTTATAAGCCATTGCACAAATCCACTCAACTCTACCACATGTCAACTATAAATAGTATTAACTAAATAACACTTCATTCTATTCCTTAACAGGAAAGAGCTCCCAAATGTTTTATAACCATTAGTTTCTCAACAGTAAGAACAATTTGGGATATGAGGTGTAAATTATAGTTTCTAGTCTCTCTCTATCATCTGTACACATGGAGGGGGGATAAAACAGGGTTGGTTATCTTAGAACATGGAAAATCCCACAGTATAGGATGGACTATCCTAAAGAATGGAAAATGCCAGTCAGATAGTATATGATTTTGTTCACAATGTTTTATCGAGGCTATATGCTGGGAGAGGCACTAAGAGATCACTTATTCAATATTATTTTCTATTTTGAATCCATGAAGTTGATAAGCCATATGTAGGTAATTCTTTTCTCTAGTATAACACTTACATTTCACAGGTGAAGAAAATAAAGTCCTTTCTTAAGTTACTTGTAAAATTGGGTAGCAAGGCCAGGTCATCTAACTTTATCCAGGGGAATGCCATTTCTAGAACCCTAATAGAAACCCTCACTGCTACTCACACAGAGAAGTCCGACTATTTGGATTGGTTTCACTTCTCAAGTTAGTGGCATGTCTGGTAAATATTCTTCTAGAGACCAGTCAATAGAATCAGAACATACAAATTGACTTGTGCATGTAGACAACTTTAGCGCTGTTCCAAAAAACACCCTTGAAGTCTGTGTCTTGGTGTCACCAATAGAATTGATTGGAAAGCGAGCACTGTCATAAATTATTTTGTCCCTATCAAGCCATGAGATTAGTTTGACTGCTTCTCACTGGAATTGGGTGGTTGTTTATTGTTGCATTTCCACAGTTTAAAGGTTACCACATTTTCTCTCTGAGTGAATTTTTACTGAGTGAAGAAAATGCAAGCAATCCAGGTGTCCTGCGCATGACACAGGTGCTCAAGGCAGGCCTAGCCTCAATAGTGAGTGATTATTTCCCTCAGGCTGGCAGTTGCTTTGGGGCTGATATTGAATGTTACTATATTTGGAAAGTTGGTCAAATCATCCTAACATTGGTGTTTCAGAAGGGACAGGCAGACAGCTCTGTGGTGTTTGTAGACTTTGTGCTCTGTAGAAAGGCAATTGGGACCGAGAGAGCTCTGGTTAACAGTGGTGAACTGTGCTTGGTAAGTACTCAAAAACTCCAAAATCTTTCATTTCCCCCAGGCAGCTCTCTCTGAGCACAACTCACCCAACTTCAGTACTAGTCCTTTACCCCTCTAGCTCTTCATATGTGTGTATTCATGGCAGTGGTATCATTCACTGACTTTTTCTTTTATCTCACCTTTGTCCAAATGTCGCCTTGTGTCTCTCATCCTTCTGTGTGTACCTGCCTGGTCTTTCCAAATAAAGTATAAACTACACAAAAATGGAAACTGGGTCAATCTGATGGGCCTGACAACCATCTCCAGGGCATGCCGTGAGGGATTCTGGAGAGCCACCTGATGAAACACATTTCTCCACCCAGTCTTTCTTGGTGCCTGAAATTGCTACTATTAGAGCACTTTAGCTGGCTAATGACAAGGAAAGCTCCTATTAGAATGTTCATTTAAGGATCCGGAACCATTATCAGCCATTAGCACCCCCTCTTGAATCAGTACTTCATATAAGTCAGTCACCTACATGAGCTTTGGAGAAATAGGGCTTCAGATTAGGAAGGCTCCACAATTTTCAAACTTTCAAAGGGAAAGTTCTGTATCTTCTATAAGGTCAAGCCTTACCCTCAGTCTCCTTTCAAAAGCTGAAACATTGCCTTTGTTTTGCTCCTTCCGCTGCCGCCACTCGATGAGGTTTGCGTTGTGCTCTCCGGGCAGTGAGATGTTGCATTTGCCCAGGGTGGGGTTGACCGCCCCGGCCAGGATGTGAGGCTCTGAGCTGAGGCTGATCTCCATCCCACTGGCAAAGGTGACACGTAGGGAGCCATCTGGACTCACTCGATATGTACTTTGGGTATTTTCTGTAGGCAGAGGAACAAAGGAGGGAGGGGGAGAGGGGAGGAAAGGGAAGCATAGGAAGCAGAGGAGAGACAAGCTTAGCTTTAGGAGGCAAGTCTGGGAAGGGTTGAGCAGGTGGGGCGCTGTGGACCCCAACTGCCTTCTGGGCTAGACAACCACTCTGACAGGCAGATGTGCCCTCTGTCCATTTGGGTCTTGTTATTTTCACAGCTGGGGTAGTTTGTTCCTTGGATAAAAGACTCCTGCCTAATACTGCAGGCTATTTTTTTTTTCTGTCTCATTTTTAAAGAATTCCCTAGCAAACTCCCTTTCTGACTTGATAGATCAGCCTCCACAGTTTGATATGCTGGGAGCTAGCATGAGAAGAGTATCAAGTTCAACTTAGCATCCTTACTGCCTGGGGACACCCGCACAGTTGCTGTTCCTGACAAAACAATAACACTGACAAAGGTTGCCACCAATCCCTTTTGAGTGTATCTGAAGGTTGAACAGTTCTGTGTCTGGCCTAACAACCAAATTAGTCTTTAATGACTGGGCAGAGAGAAATAGTTTATGTATCCATTTCCCATTTAGCTTCCAACTCATTCCTTCCAAGTCCATCCTCCTTCCTTTCCTTCTCCCCTCCCTCCCTTTAAACAGAATGAGCTTTTAATTTTCCCATTTCTCTTATATTCTTGCTCAGTGTGTATCCTAATTCATCCTTTTTATTCCCCCATGTCAGCATGGATCTTGAATGCTAATATCAGATGGGAAACAGACTCCATTTCTTTACCATAACCCCTTCCATGCCCGAAAGAGCTTAACGCACTGCTAGGTGCTGCAAAATGACTTGACGGAAGAGAGGATTTGGCAAAGATGTAAACTCATGACTCCCACAGAGTTGTGGCTCAAGGTTGCTATGTGAATCTGTGAAAAGGGTGATTTTGTCTGGGTTTCAGCTTCCAGAGCTTAAAAATAGGGAGACAATGCCATCTTCTCAGACAGAAGTGAATTCTATGTATTAGAAGGGTAGAAGTTATGATAGGTGCTATTACAGTCAGGCGAAGTTAGAAATAGTCTTACCTTGTTTTAAAATATAGATGGTAGTAGTTGCTGTCAAGTTGGTTGACATGAGGACATTTTCATGGTTGGAAGTATCCAGCTCCACTTTTGTCAGCTTCTCCAGGTCACTGTGGAAGCTGTTGACTTCTCCAGTGGGAAATGTTGCATTGGTCAGATGTCCCTCGAGGTCATACCTGAGGAATGGAACCAATGCCAACTTTGAAGCCTCTTGGCAGTGATAAGAGACCTTTGCAAAATAAAAATCACTTGGCAGTTTAACTTTGAGTGATAACAAGTATTATTAACCTTGTTCAATACAAAGAAAAATGTCAGAGGGATGATTAATCAAACGAAGGTATTTTTGCAGCTTCTGAATTCTTGATGACTTCCTTGAACTGTGCTGCTTTACAGAAAAAATATGTCTGGTAATGAATCACCAGGGTGGAAAGCTGATTTATGAATCATGTCCCTCTGTGTGTAATGTTGCAGGGCAGCTTCACTTTTGCAATTTGGGTTGATCCCATTAGATGTGATGGATGACAGAACCCAGCAGAGGGTGCTGTTGGCAAAGGAAACAGAGGCACAAAAGAGGGCCCAAAGCCTGAGAAGGCCAATAAACTGACTTTGCATTGTAATAGGAAAATTTTATTTGCTGCCGTTTAAGTTGCCAAATTTGAAATGAATGAATCATTCTTCCAACAAAATGAACAAGCACAGAAGATAATGGAAGCCTCTTCATTAGAACATTATGGAGCCCCCTGATCTCAGTGTCACTTAATTTTTTTAGCTTTTTAGAGTATAGCACATAATGTGTTGTAATTTGCTTATATGAGTAGGAGAAAAAAATAATTACCTGGGATAATAGGCAATAACCTATATCTAGAAATATAATCTAGTGAGTTTACTTTAAAAACACACACACACACACACACACACACACACACACACTATCAACATTATTGGCAATCTCACTGTCCTCCAAATGAAAACTGCTTCCCTGAAGGCTTTTGATGTGGAGCTGTTCTTTTATTGCCAATAGAACCATGAAAAATAAACACTTCATTAAAAGTAAAGACATGCACTTGGAAACCCATTACTGTTTTCTTTTCAAGCTGCAAATTACAAAATATTTAAGCACTTTTATAATGTTAAACAATTATATTCTTTTTTACCCAAAGTGAACAGGATACAGCCTGGACACAATGGTGGCATCTGGCTCTGCTACCTCATCCCCCAACCATTATGCAAAAGGATATAGTGATTCAGTGTTAATACACTGGGTTTCAAGAACTCAGCCTAGACAGTTGCTCAAATTTTAAAACCTAGACTAGTTTTTGGTAAGTTTGGGAAAAGGGGCTGGACCTTATTTTATCAGATAGACCTGAACTTGAGGGTATACACAATGCCACTTCCCTCAAGTTCAGTTCTGTGTGGACAGAGCATGTGTGCACACATACACACCCTATCATTTAAAACAGTCATGTAACACTGGATGGTGTGGCTCAGTTGGTTAAGCGTCATCCTGTGCACCAAAAGGTGGTAGGTTCAGTCCCTAGTTGGGGCACATGCAAGAGGCAACTGGTTAGTGTTTCTGTCTTACATCGATGTCTCTCTCTCTCTCTCTTCTTCCTCTCTCTAAAATTAAAAAACCAAAACCTAGTCATGTATGAAAATAAAAATAATCAAATAGGTCATTTGACATCTTAGATATTTGAAGTCCTAGTTGGTTTAATTGGATGTGCCCTTTATTTAAATGGATTTCAGACAAAACAGTTGTTGGTATCTTGCGGCTATACAGCTAAGGCCACACATCAAGGAAAGACCAAAAGGTGCTGCTTGTGCCTGAGGTTAATGGCAAAATCCTCCTGCTTGTTCAGCCTGTTTATTTTTTAAAATATATTTTTATTGATTTCAGAGAGGAAGGGAAAGGGAGAGAGCGATAGAAACATCAACGATGAGAGAGAATCATTGATCAGCTGCCTTCTGCACATCCAACACCAGACTGAGCCTGCAACCTGGGCATATGCCCTGACCAGGAATCTAACTGTGATCTCCTGGTTCATAGGTCGATGCTCAACCACTGAGCCATGCTGGCCGGGCATGGCTCAGCCTTGTTTGCCCATGGTCTGCTTTAGGGCTCTGTGACTACAAGAAGCAAGTCCTTGATGAGAAAGGGGCATGGAAGAGCTTGAACACCTAGCAGAGCCAAGCCTTGTCTGCCTGGCCTTCCTTCTAGGATAAGAAAACGATGTCCAGCCTTGAATTCTCCCAAGGTTCTGAGCTGCTTTTCCCTGGAGGGAGGAGTTTGGAGGCAGCAGATAAAAGGGAGCTGCTGCAGGCCTGCCTCGTGAGGGAGACTGTGGCCTCGCTGCCTGGATTACCCAAGCAGTTTTTCTGTTTCACAACCATCACCAGCACCTCTGGTTTCCCTTTCCTGATTTCTAAGGGGTTCCCTCACCTTTGGCAAGGTCACTCTTCATCATTTCTCCAGGAAATTTGACCTAAGATGCTATGCATGCAGGTTTCCATTGGGCTTTGCAGCTGGGGGCCGTTTCCCAGTCACTCAGCCCCTTGTTTTAAAGCAAGATTTCATCTAAAAGTGAGGGCTGTGGTTGGGTTCACTCCTCAGGGCTAAGACCAGATGCCAACGGAGTCATCCATGAGCAAAGGTACAAGGGCCAAACACCCCAACAGACCTTAGCAGTGGCCTGTGAATAAATCTGGTTTCCCACCCTCTGCTCCAAACACCTTTTAAGCTCAGTCACAGGTGCTCTTTATCCGAGATTATACATTTTAAAGCTTATTTCCAAGAGCACAGCCACATCTCTACATATTCTGTTTCCATGCCCACCCTCCAAATTGACAAGAGTATATTCAGAAAGGAAAGCTAAATACTCCTGGGTAAAACTGTAATTACTTGGAGAGATCTAGCTGGGAGGCTGCTGCCTGACCTTTTTCTGGGGAGGGAGGCAATGGTGTGAGGATCAGGTAGAATTTTTCACAGTCCTGCCCAGTCACTGGGGAGCTAAAAAGTTATATTGCCTGATTTCATTGCTGTGGCTGGACAGGCATCCTTATTTGAGAGTGCACATTTGACTTTAACTCTATCATAAACAAAGTATGCTACCTTGAGGGCATTCTGCTAACTGAAATAAGTTAGAAAAGGACAAAATACTGTATGATCTAAGTTATATGTGGAGTTTAAGAAATACCCCCAAATAAAAAAATATGTACACACCAAACTCAGCAAAAGAGAGCAGATTTGTAGTGACTAGAGGTGGGGGCTGGGGATGGGGGAAATGGAAGAAGATGGTCAAAAGGTGCAAACTTCCAGTTATAAGATAAATAAGTCGTACCCTGGCTGGGTAGCTCAGTTAGTTGGAGCATCGTCCTGTACACCAAAAGGTCGCAGGTTTGATTGCCAGTCAGGACACATATCCAGGTTTTGGGTTCAATCCCCAGTTGTGGCACGTGAGGGAGGCAACTGATTAATATTCCTCTCACCCCCCCCCTCTCTCTTTCTCTCTCTCTAAATCAATAACAATATATCATCCTAGGGTAAGGATTACAAAAAAGATAAATAAGTCATGGGGATGTAATGTACAACATGATGACTGTATAGTATATATATGAAAGTTGCTAGGAGAGTAAATCCTAAAAGTTCTCATCAGGAGGAACCAAAATCATTTTGTTTTCTTTGCTTTTCCTTTTTGTATCTGTATAAGATGATGAATATTAGCTAAACTTATTGTGGTAGTCATTTCATAATAAATGTAAGCCAAGTAATGCTGTATGCCTGAAAATTATACAATACTTGTATGTCAATTATATCGCAATAAAACTGAAGGAAAACAAATTAAAAAAACCCAAAGCCATCTATTCCTCAACACACTCATGTGCCCCAATTCTGCTAGTCACAGTCAAAGCAATTGCAGTATGGTGCCACTCATGTGCTCAATAATTTATATGGCCCTGATCAAAACGTACAGACCCACCTTGCCGGGAGCCGGTCCATCCTTGCTGTTTCAAGGGACCTGGCATATATGGCATACTGTTCTTAATATGTTTGCTCACCTTCTTGGCACTGTGTTTTAACCAAGGTCACCTCTCCAAGAAAGGTTGTTTCCCCAGGTAGGGATTTTCCCCTGAAGTTAGGGAGGGAATAAAACCTCTTAACTAAGTGCCGCCTGGCTACAGAACTTGGTTGGAGAACCTAGACAGAACCTGGCTGAAGAACCCAGCTACAGAACCTGGAGACTGAAACAGGCTGGAGAACCAAGCGAGAGAACATGGCTACAGAACCTGGCTGGAGAACCTGGAGAACATGGCTGGAGAACCTAGCAAGAGAACATGGACACAGCACTTGGCTGGATGTTGTGGCTAGAGATCCTGGCAAGGCTGCTTATCAACTGAACGCTGTCTCCGTGTCATTCCTTCTTCGCCGACTCCGTCCACACCTTTGGGGACCCCAGCACCACCTCTCTTCTGTGGGGTTACTTCCAAAGTAAAAGTGACTGGCAGATCCCACAACTTTTGGAAAGATTGCTCAAAAGTAGGTAAGAAATAATGGGAGCCTTTGATTTCCTATGGCTTGCTTGAGGTACCCCCCACCCCATGACGGGGGAATGCGTGTTTCCAGATGGAATGTCTAAGAGACAAGTTTAATCAAAATCTCCTATGCTGTGCGTTTCCCTTTGGTGCTTGCATCCTTTGGTGCAGAGAGTAAATACAAGCCAATATGCTGACACTGATCCCCTTGGGATGCAACATAGTAGCTATCTGCTCCTCCACCCCAGCAGAAAGTTGCACTCACTTAACCAGGCCTATAAATTCTGGTTAGTAAATTGTGCCATCAGGCAATGACCGTGGCCTTCATAGGTTTCAGAAGTGGGTTTGGTAAGAGGAGATGCCATCAAAATGTCCCTTTCTGCTCTGATTTTAGAGAGTTCCACTGTGTGCATGGACACACATGTCCCCATGAAGCAAAAGCATCTGTAAAGGAAATTCAGAACTCATTCTTGTCCTTGAGGAGCATACAGTTTAGTTGGGGAGATGAGATTTATATATTATGATAAGTATATTGGGTCTGGTATTTTCTCATAAGGGATAGTCTGTTCTTTTCCTTGAGGACAACTGAAGCCAGAGCTAACCCATGCAGAGAAAAAACTAGAAGCCCCTTCACCTTTGCTTTCAG